ACATAGCCGTATATTGCCCGGGTCTGTGTAAAATGGAGGCAGAAATATGAGGAAGGTCATTGGGGTAATCCCACAGTTCCCCTTGGGAACCTGCAAGAGTGACTGCCATATAATGGCCCGTGGAACGCTAACTGTAAAGCATTTACAATAATGTCATTTGAGGTATATATAACGTGGGCGGCGTTGTACACAATCGGTTCTGAACAGGAGGGAGTTCTAAGGAAGAAGATAAAAGAACGAATTCATATTTTTCTTCCTTTCGTTTTTCTCGCTTTTGCGCTCTGATATTCATGTGACTATATATATATATATATATATATTGACAAAAGATGTCGGAGCGCAGAAGCAAAAAAAAGGAGAAACAAAGAAACAAGGACAAATTTCAAAAAATGAATTCGTTTTTTTAATCTTCTTCCTTACAACTCCCCGTGTTCAGAACCTCTTGCGTACATATGGTGCGTGAGTCTCGGGAGACCAGTGGGCGGCCAGGCTAGAAAGAAATTTAAAAAATCCTGAAAAACAAAATCAATTTTCGTTCGCACTGGTATTGTTTTTTGTATACGTGGTGAAGAATCCCAATGTGACTTCCAGGCAAATTTTGCTCATCTCAATTTCATGCAGAGCACAGTTTTTTTTTTTTTTTCGGATTTTGGCTTAATGTGTTATTCGTAATTTTTTTTTGAGGTCAACCGTAGGTGGACTTCGCACGAGTGGAGCATAGGATGTTTCGGTTTTATAATTGTCTCCGTTTTTTGCGGACTTTTTTTTTTTTTTGCTGTTGTTTTTAAACGGGAACTTATGTGGTCCTCACACAGCCGGAAGGAAGTTTTTTTTAACCGTTTTTTTTTTTTTTGGTTTTGGTTTTGTTTTTATTTTATTTTTTCCGGCACCTTACGAGGTCCTCACATGGCCGGCCTTCCCCACCCGGCCGGCCAGACCGGTAGGCTAATATCTATATGTATATACACATATTAAATATGTATATAAATATGTACGTATCAATTTATTTATTTATTTATTTTATTTTTTTCTTCTTTTTTTGGATTACATGAAACTGTAAATATGGCCCACTTCTCCCACAGCCACATATGAAAACAACATGAGGAATTTTCATTGTTTTTTTTTTCCTTTTCATTGCTTTCAAGTTTCGTGGTGTTGAATTCTTGCCGGTGGGAGCATCTGTGCATGCCACACGGGTTGTGTGTTTTATCGGAGAAAGAAAGAAAGAATGTACGTATTTTTTTGCACGTAAAAATGTGGAGGAGGAATCGTTTTCATTTTTCAAGCGAGTAACAAGTTCAGAGGGAAAAGACAAATAAGAAATGCACAGGAAAAACAGGACAAAAAATAAAAAACCATTACAGCAAGGACAGAAAGATTTGATTACAGAACAAAGGAAAAAAAACATTGTTTCTCACATTCTTATTTTCGTCACTGAAACAACCAATGACTGTTTTTCCTTTTTTTTCACGTTGTTCCTAGCGAGACTGAGATTTTGTGTTTTGTGCACACAAAAAATCCCGCAAATCATTTCATCCAATCCATTATTATTAAAAAACCTGTGGTCACTACTCACACTCTAGAATTACAGATGCCATATCTCTATTCGGAGGGTAATTTTGTTGTGAACCCAATCGGCATGACTGTTGGAAAGGAAAAAAAAAAGGAGGGAAAAAAAAAAAAAAAAAAAAGGAAAACGTCTTTTTCACTAACGTGTCCCTTGTGGCCGCAATTTTTTTTTTCGAGAATGGAATGTGCGTATGGATTATTACGCACACCCGGTACATCTCCGGGAGAGAGAGAGAGAGAGAGAGAGAGAGAGAGAGAGAGAGAGAGAGAGAGAGAGAGAGAGAGAGAGAGAGAGAGAGAGAGAGAGATGGGGTGGCGGGGAGGACAGCGGCAGCGCTAGCAGCACGGCGGGGGGAGCGGTCCGCAGTGGTAGCGGTGCGCAGCGGCGCGCGGCAGGAGCCGGAGGCATTACATTGGGTGCGCACTCCGCACCCGCGCGTGGGATTGGGTGCACACCAGCGCGCGCGCGCGCGAGAGAGAGAGAGAGAGAGAGAGAGAGAAAGAGAGAGAGAGAGAGAGAGAGAGAGAGAGAGAGAGAGAGAGAGGGTAGTGGGGAGGAGAGCGGCAGCGCTAGCAGTAAGGCGGGGGGAGCGGGCCGCAGCGGTAGCGGTGCGCACTGGCGCACAGCAGGAGTGAAAGGCGCACAGCAGGAGTGAAAGGCGTTACATTGGGTGCGCACTGCGCACGCGCGCGGGAATGGGTGCACGCCAGCGCGCAAGAGAGAGAGAGAGAGAGAGAGAGAGAGAGAGAGAGAGAGAGAGAGAGAGAGAGAGAGAGAGAGCGGCAGCGGTAAAGGTCAGCAGTGGGAGCGGTGCGCAGCGTGAGCCAGAGGTAGAACCTTGGCTGGGCGTGCACGGCGTACAGAACCGCGGGCTTTGGTGCGCACGTGCGCTCACGTGCGTGCTTACGCGAGAGAGAGAGAGAGAGAGAGAGAGAGAGAGAGAGAGAGAGAGAGAGAGATGCACCACGAGGTAGAGGCGGCACGAGGTGGAGGCAGCGGGCGCAGAGGCGGACAACGACAACGGCCGGGCGCCCTGTCCCTCTCTCTCTTAATCTGCCTATCTCACATGCG